GATATTCTCCTTCTAGCTTGACTTTATTAGACATGACATGAATTAGAAGCTTCTCATTCCATTTTTTCAACAAGAGATTTGAAGGATTAGATCATAAAACTTTCCAATCTTCAACAACTCTTTTCCTTTGACATATATAATGAGAAAAAGAAGTTTAATCTGTAACTGTATGAGAGAAAGTTCCAATATTCATATAGAAAAGTTTTGTTTAAGCATTTTTTGTCTTAAAAAGGAAATATTGATAACATGTAATGACCATCACAAAGTTTTGTTTCTTAGAGTCAGCTATTTTATCTTGGAATTGAATTTTCATTCTAATATTTTCACTACTTCAGTGACCATTAATGCGTGAAATAAATTAAGTTCGCCCTCTCTTCCACAAGTAAGTCTAATCCTAATTAAAATTAAAATATAATAAAGAGCTAGTGTGCCCCTTTCTCTTTAAGTGTCCGTGGGTATTTCAGAATTGTTGACCCTCTCCCTCCCTTCCTGCAATTTGAAAAAACTTCACTGAGCAATATGCTCAGAATAGTTCTTTTGATATCCATATTGATACAATTCATAGTATTGCTTCATTCAAGAAAGTTAATTGCTAGTGGAACTTGACATTTTGCCTCATTCAAAGACATGAAATCACTTAAATTAAGTCCCTTAATTAGTCCACAAAGGATGTTGGTAAGCTCTTTCGAGCTTTATTTTGTATTGATCTTTTGTGATACAAATTCATCTTATATCTGATGAAGAACCTCTAGTATTAATGGAATGATATGAACTAACTAATACTCTCTTTGCACAGTTTTTGTAAATGTGAAGTTCTGCAAGGACCCAAAGCTTGTCACGGTAAATGATTTCTTCTTTTTGTGACTGAACATGCCTGGGAACACAGGAAATGCAGTAGGTTCAAATGTCACTACTGTTAATGTTGATGCATTACCAGGACAAGATACTCTTGGCATAGCGATTGTGCATATTGACTTTGCTCCATATGGTGGACTGAAACCTCCACACACTCATCCTCATGCTACAAAAGTCTTGGTAGTCCTGGAGGGTGCTCCCTTGGTAGGCTTTGTCTCATCCAACCAGGATAACAATCCTCTCTTCACCAAAGTCTTGAACAAGGGAGATGCTTTTGTTTTCCCAGTTGGCATGATTCACTTCCAGTTGAATATAGGAAACACTCCTGCTGTTGCTTTTGCTGGTCTGAGCAGCCAGAATCCTGGAGTAATCACAACTGCAAATACCGTTTTTGGATCTGATCACCCACCAATCCGAATGTGCTGACCAAGGCCTTCACGTTGGACAAGAATGCGGTTCAGTATCTTCAGTCCAAGTTCTGATAGGATTAGAGTTATAACAAATTATTAAAAAGATTAGGCAGTTGTTTCATTTCAATAGTATTTGTGATGCAATTTTTTTGTTATGTTCAGTTGTGATTGACTAAAGAACACTTGACTGCTGCATTTTTATGATTATTATCATACATGTTTTATATTGTTACTGTAAAATTGTTAAGAGCAGAAGCATGCTCTTTCTGTTTCTTCTTACCAAAATCCTATAGATAGGCTTTATTTTTCTGGTTCAGGGTTTTAGTTGGTAGCATTCTTCTGCGTCCCATGTTAGCTTTACCATTAAACGTTCAAGTATTTCTGTTTAAAGGTTGTTTCCAGGGAGCTCTGTTGAACAATGTCTAAAAAGTATATAGTAAGTCTTAAAACTCGGGAAATTTTCTACTGTGGCATTCACCTTACAAGAAAAGCTGTGAACTTGTAACTATTTATCGTTTGGTTTGAGACAAAAACCTTAATCCTCAGCATATGTATTGTCTGAGAGGCGAAGTTAACCATAAGCATTGAATGCTGAGAGTGGATTAAATTCTTATTTATTGGGTAAGATACTTACCACAGTTTGGATTGTGACGCATGACACTTCAATCTTCTTACAAGTTACAATGGCTGCTCAAAAAAGTCTTTCTGGGGAGTGAAACCAAAATGAAGTCATCTGCCAAAGGATTAGAGAACAAGCAAATTAAAGAGAGACATAGAAACAAGGAATCATGGTTCTATACATTGTTCTTTTAAAACGTCTCATATAATTAAATATTGCTTTTTTACCCTCCCTTCCTGCAATTCAAAAAGTTCATTGAGCAATAAGCTTAGAATAGTTCTTCTAATCTCCACATTGATGCAATGCACTGTATTGCTTCACTCAAGGCCAGATAATTGCTAGTGAAACTTGACATTTTGCTTCATTCAAAGACATCTCAATCACCTAAATTAAGTCCCTTAATTAGCAATTTCTAGTCTTTAGCTCTCCACAGTTTATGTTAGCTGCTTCTGTTTGTTTGGAGCTAAGCCTTCTGAATAGTGAAACTGGAAATGAAGAAGTCATATAGAATGGATCAGAGAACAAGTAAAATAACTACTAAAAAAAGCTATAGGAAGAAGAACGTTGTCCAGTCCTGTTTGAAAAGAACTATTGAAAGCTAGTAAAAGAACTCTTTGCACTTAATTTCAGGTTACAAGGTGGAGACAAGAGGTTATATGAATTTTTTTCTATTAACATTTGAGCATCTTTGATTATGCTAAGAATATTTGTTCTACCTGCAGACCTACAATAGAAGCTTCCCTTTGGAGGATTGTTTTCTACATTTGCAAAGGATTTAATGTCACTATCAATTACCAATTCAACTACCCTTTTTTTTTTTTTGGGAATTCCTGAACTTCTGTTAATTAAAGGATACACGAGAACAAATCACTTCTTTATCCCCTCCTAAGAGCCGCGTCCTCCTAATTTGACTTGGTAAATCTATGACAGAAAAAAGTACAGCTACCTGATTTGCAATTATGTAATGTTGCTAGTAACAGAAAAGTTCTATTGAAGCATGACATAATCTCAATTTTTATCCACATTTTAGTGGTTTCTACAAGCAATCTTTGGCGTCTTTGTCATTGGAGACTAATTTATAC